GACGAACACAAATTAAAAAATATTAATTTGGAGTATGTTATTTTTACTATATGCATATGAATATAAATACGGTTATTTATATTCATATGCATATAGTATTTATAATTCATATGCACATGCATACAGTTATTTTAATATTACAAACAGACACTCCAATTTTATTTATATGTATAGATGTATAGATTATGTTCCTGCCTAGGTATTTATGGATGGAGAGTACACCATAAAAAACTTTAAGTATATTATTATTTAATTTAAAATAATAATTGAGTTTGAATATCGACAAGTATTAACTTGTCGATATTCAAACTCAATTTCGAAATATCTTCAATCATGTAGGTCTATTACAGACTCTTATGATATGTCAAATCTACCGTCTCGGAATGATTGCGAGATGAGAAGAACTGACAAGAAACTCAGCTCGTATTCTTTTCAAATATTTCAAATAAATGTTATATTCAAATTTATAATAATATACAGTCATTGATTTAAATTCAGATTAATTTAAATTCATATTTGGGAGAATAGAGTGACCACCAGCATATGCTATTAATAACAATCAATAAATCAATATTATGATAAATAATATATCTGTGTAATGATTGTTACCAAAAGCGCGTAATTGCGTGCCACTTACTCTACTTAATTATGTGATTTTTTACTATTCTATTCTAGCGTCACCTAACCTCTTGTCTTTTCTCCTCTTCTCATTACAAAAACGTGCCATTCGAGCGATCTTCTGTATGAAGAGTCGTGACTCATTAAGAGAGAAATTCAAAGAGGCAAATATTCTCACCGTTGCTTCTCAATTTATATATTCAAATATCCTATATCTTCATAAAAATCTTGACTTATTTCCAAAAAACAGCAATATTCATAATATTAATACTAGATTTAAAGACAAATTTGCTGTCCCCAAGTATCGTTTAGAAAAAGTCAATAGGTCTTTTATGGGAATAGGTATAAAAATTTACAATAAGATACTAAAGGATATATTGGAATTACCCTTAAATAAATTCAAACCATCTGTTACATCATATTTACTGAGCAATGCCTATTACTCACTAAACGAGTACTTGAATGACGAGCGTGCATGGGAATAGTTGTTCATGCACAGGATTTTCATTTAATGTTAGACATAGACACCTATATAACTTGCCAGTTCAACTCAATTGCATCTATATACCGAACTGGACGGTAGGGAAAAAAATAAAATTATAACTTAAAAAACTTGACGTTCATAAGCGGCTAAAATGTCCTACATTAATATAATGATATATGGACGAGATTCCAAAAGCGATAAGGCCGCCGTTTGTACCCTATTACTTTATTAATTTTGATTCGTGTAATATATCTATATAAATACTAGCTGTCCGGGCAAACGTTGTTTTGCTTTAAAATAAAAAAAAAATTAGGGGTGGACTACTACTGCTAACTAAATTAATTTAAAAAAAATAGGGGTTGATGATAGAGAAAAAATAGATGTTGCATGTTGATTCTCAGACTAACATTTAAGGGGATGAAAAATAGATGTTGGCTGATTCTCAGACCTACTCAATATGCTCACAAAATTTCATGAGAATCGGTCAAGCCGTTTCGGAGGAGTATGAGAACGAAAACTGTGACACGAGAATTTTATATATAACATATAACAACCTTTTAATGAATCGTTAAAATATTATGTATACCTTTTGTAAATAATGAGTGAATTCTTGTAAATTCATAAAAAAGTAAACATACGTCCTTTATAGAATATTACCTACCACATAATGTACTACTCATGTCGATTTCCGTTCCGAAAATCCTACATAAAGATGTCTAAAGCAATTCCTTACAAATATTTCGTATTTATAAACAAATGTAGACTCCTATACTGGTAATATTACGTGTAGAATCGCTGCAGGTGTTCACTCACCGTCCGCTTGATGGGTTCCATTCATTCGCTCAATCATTCACTCAGCCCGTGAGTGGATTCATGGCTTTATGCAGAATTATAGAATTTTCTGATTCAAATAACGTCTGCTCGAGGATTGGATGGAGTTGATAAAAATCCATTTGTATATATTGACTCGGGCTGTGTCGCGTTCAGATATACACGCCGCGCTCCTAACACGGTTATGTTTCTATTTAGATGTACTTCCTGCGACAAGCATTGAACGAGAGCTGAATCTAATTTGTTATATCAAACAATTTTTGTGTACCTGCTCTGTTTTGACAGAAACCATAAAACTGTACTCCGATAATACTATCAATAGAATAGAATAGAATAGAAAATCATTTATTCAAATAAACTTAATTTAAGCACTTTTGAATAGTCATAACAATTTGTTTTTTATCTACCACTCGTTCGGAAAGCTGTCTCATCACAAGAACGAGCAAGAAACTTGTGTGTTGCTCTTTTAAATATAAATGTTAAAATAAAAAAAAATCACGCTCTGATGACCTCGGTAGTGAACCTACCGGTTTAGTACACGGACTTATCTGTCGATGGTCGTGATACCTCTATAATGTAATCTATACATTTATACATATATATAAAATTGGAGTGTCTGTTTGTAATATTGAATTAACCGTTTTCTACTACATGCATATGAATATAAATACGGTACATACACCAAAATAACAGTTCTTACAATTTTTGTCTTCTTATCTGTTTGTTCCGGCTAATCTCTAAAATGGCTGGACCGATTTTGACGGGACTTTTTTTGTAGCTGATGTAATAAATAGTAACTTTGGCTAGTTTTATTTTAGAAAAATAAAGTTAAATGGCAGAAGTCGCGGGAACAGCTAGTTCACAATATTAGTAAGGATGTTGGTGTTCAAATTCCGCACGGAGAAGCGTGCGTTGCATTTTGCATGCAGATGGGTTGGAAGCCGCAGCATACCTAATTAGATTGCACCACCATCCAAATTGCTTTTTATTTCGTTTTAATCTCAATTTAGTTAAGCATCACTACTTACCTACATAGCTTGTATTCACGATTTGTATTCACACAGAAATAGCGAATAACATCGTCCGTATCTGCTTTTATGTTCTTAACAGAAGTGCAGCGCGTCCTGGCGGGGCCCCGTATAAGAAGTTGTTTGGGGGCCCTTACAAACGGTAAAGAAATCGTGAAAGTTTGATGCGAACGACTTTTTTTTTTCGCCTAACCGATTGCGAGGCTCTGGATGGCAGGTCTCGTAAGTGTGTGATGTGAGCGACGTTTTTTTGATTTTCACCACAGCATCATAAGTTAAATTATTTTGATTTACGCACGTTGGGGGCTTTTTTTTTTATTTTTTATGGATGATAATGGAATGATGCACCCGCCTGCGCTAACGGTTTACGCTGGCGGGGCACCAGTGGAGGATGATAAGATGAGCATGAGGTCAGGTCAGTTAGCCCATCGTGATAAATTCACCAGTAATTTATCACGATGGTTTCCAGGGGGAACCACGTGGAGGTCAACCTGACATTGTACATTGATAGCAATGGGATCAATACACTTTACTTTACAATCCCCTTTCCCCCCCACGTTGGGGGCTAGTGTTACCAGATTTTTTTCAGCCTATAAGGGGCAAACTCTTAAATAGGCAAAACAGTACGGGAATTTAGTTTTTTACCCGGGACAAATAAAAAACAAAATTATATAGTGAATTTTTTTTTTATATATATATTTTTCAGAGGATCGAGTCAGTTTTAACATATTTTTATTGGTTTTAACATATTTACAAAAATCAATACAATTATAATCGTAATTAAAAACGGCCATCAACTCGCTTTTTATTAAATTATTATTTCTGTCTAGCGTAGATAGATCAATTTAATAATAAAAAATGCAACACGATTCGAATACGGGACAGAGTCAGTCCCGGGACATTTTAAACTAAGCCTAAAATACGGAGAAGGACGGAGGGACGTCCCGGGAAATACAGGACGTCTGCAACGCTATTGGGGCCCCAATGGCCGGGGGCCCCGTAATTGATACTGCAGATACGGCGGCAGATACGCCCCTGGTTCTTAAGTAATGGTTTTATTCACTGAGCAAATGACCAGTTTGGTGTACTTACATTAGTAGCAAGCTACTTGGCGCTTTGAAAGAATGGTGAACCTAATGGCCATTGTCTAGACTAGGGGTAGATATCTGATGACGGTCCATCGTCCGAGCATCATTCAAGTACGGTGAATATAAAAAAGGTTTTCTTAATCTATCTATTTGCGATTATACACATAGATATTAACATAATTGCAATAAGTTATAACTTATTTAAATAACAATGGTTGCTCAACTCCAACATAATTGTACCCAGGGCCGGGGCTAGGGTCCTCAGCGCCCGCATGCAATTTTTATCCTAGGTTTATGTCTCCGTATTCATAGATTATTTATTATAATTTATTTAGTATTGTATAGATTCTATATTTTAATAAAATTATAGTATACTAGCTTTTCCCCGCGGATTCGCTCGCGTTAATTTATCCCCTTAGGGGTGGAATTTATCAAAATCCTTTCTTAGGGGATGGCTACATCATAGTAGCTTTATGCATGCAGTCTCAGCCCGATCGGTTTAAAATTTCCTACAAACTTTCATCCCCTTGGGGGTAGAATTAATCAAAATCCTTTCTTAGCCTACGTCATAACATCTACTTGCATGCCAAATTTCAGCTCGATCCGTCCAGTGGTTTGAGCTGTGCGTTGATAGATTACTGTCAGTCACCTTTGAGTTATATATATATAAAACCACAAAAAATAAAAATAACATAACCTTCGATAATACACATCTTTTTAGTTTTTTTTTATATTATTGTTAAAGTTTAGATTGCAATGTAAACTAAACATAAGATGCTATAAGTAACCATTAATGTAGTTAAGTATATTACTCACAACAATATTGATGTTTTTAGTAAATTTAGTGTAAGAATATTTTTTACGATCTTGTATCCAAAGCCGCAAAACAATACAGAAAGCGGTACTCTACTGTCAGCGGGCAACAAGTGTCAAGTGTCAGAGTGACGCTTGGATCGGAAGGTCTTACCGCGCCGCTATGAACAGCGTCTTATGTTTATTGTTAAATAAATTGTAAAATTAGTTAATATCGACAAAATTTTTGTGTAACAAGTGCGTGTACTGTCATAAACATGTTGATTTTATTCGAGACCCCGGGAGGTTACGCTATTTTCAAGGTAAGACAACACGTGTTGATCCTAACCTCCAACGCCGAATGGTTTATTTTATTTCTCTCAGTAAATGCTGTATTAAATGACAATACGAACATATAGATCATATATTTGATTCAGAAACTACGTTTGCACGATCTGAATATATCCATTTACATTTCTATAACGTTTATTTAACAGTATTATCACTGAACACAAACATATACCACGTTAATTTTATACATCAATTTGATAGAAAATGCATGTGTAAATATAAATATAAGTGCACTAGCACTTATAAAACATCTAGATTATTTGCAAAAAGGATATAATCCTCAAATATCTTAACACACAGTAGAATTTATTAAATTATTTTTTAATTGCTGTAAACTAAGCAAAAGTATTTTGTTAAAAATCTAAAACCTTTGTAAAGATTGCCCTCAGTGGGCAAGCATCATACGTAACTTATATTTACTAATATTATATATAGCCAGAACAGTAAATATAGTAAATGTTAGGACTTATAATAATAATTAATATACAAAATGTGTAGGAATGTCTACATAATAGCTAAACTTTGCAGTAGTCCGGCCATAGTGTTACTAGTATATTGTCTTTTTTATATCTCCAAAGAACATATCCCTACTACCAGTTAGGATAACTACCCAAATTTATATGCACCTAAGTAAATAGCATTCATTATCTATACATATAAATAAAATTGGAGTGTCTTGTCTGTTTGTAATATTGAAATAACCATTTTTTACTACATGCATATGAATATAAATACTGTACATACACCGAAATATCATTTTTTAGAATTTTTGTTTGTCTGTCTGTCTGTTTGTTCTGGCTAATCTCTGAAATGGCTGGACCAATTTTGACGGGTCTTTTTTTTGGCAGGTAGCTGATATAATAAGGAGTGACTTAGGCTACTTTTATTTTAGAAAATATAATTTTAAAAAAGGATTTTAACTTTATTTTAATAAAAATAAAGTTAAATTCCAAGTTGCGGGTACAGCTACGACTATATAAATATAGTTTTATAATTAACAAGCTGCTCCATACAACTGTTACCATATCATGCCTACTCGACATTTATTATTATATTTCGCCCAAGTAACATATCTTTTTAAATTATAGTCTATATGTTATTCTGATGCATAAGCTATATTACTGTAAAATTTGAAGAAAGACCCAGTGGAAGTCATGGATGGCTTTAATAATTAATTTTAACATATATACATACAGCATACTGTTGTCTGTGTGTTCGCTGTTAGTTGTAGTTAGTATAATTTTTGTCAGTTGTGTTCCGAGATATATCAACTTTACATATAAATATTATTAATCTCGTGTCACAATGGTAGTTACCATACTCCCAAATGGCTTGATTGATTTTTATGAAATTTATATGCATTCACTAGCTGTACATGCGACTTCGTCCGCATGCAATTTAAAAGTTACTCCTTATTACATCAGCTACCTGCCAAAAAAAGTCCCGTCAAAATGGGTCCAGTCGTTTCAGAGATTAGCTGGAACGAACAGACAGACAAACAAAAATTGTAGAAAATGTTACTTTGATTTATGTACTGTACCGTGTTTATATTCATATGCATGTAGTAAAAAACGGCTATTTAAATATTACAAACAGACACTCCAATTTTATTTATATATATAGATTATGCTAGTGTTAGTTGTCAAAGTGTGGGATATACAGTATATGGAAATGTCTTCAACATAAAATGTTATGTTCAATATTTAAGAACAGAATGTATTAGATGCCTAACAAGTGTGTCTCGCCTAATGTAGTTTACTCAACAATGGACTGTATTTATATATATAAAAAAATTTCTTGTTAGTTGTCAAAGGATGCCTACGTCATAACATCTACATAAAATGCATGTCAAATTTCAAGATCAGAGTGGTTTGGGCTGTGTGTTGATAGATAACTATGTCAGTCACCTTTGAGTTAATTTTTATATACATTTTACCAATGGACTGCTCAATAATATCCATAACAATAAATGCCCTTTATTAATGACTGATTTTCACATTAACTATTATAATTGTTTTAGTTACTGGATGAATCAAAATTATCACAAATTGATGATTTGTATCAAGAATTCAACACACCTGAAGGAGCATCTTCTGTGTAAGATATTTTTTCTTATTTTTATTAACAATTACAATGTAATACATAATTATAATTATAAACGAATATATTTTATGGAGTAGTATATCGTACATATAATGTTATAAAATAGAGCCCTTACAATTTGCAAAATTCAATTATTTAATTTAAATCAAAAATATTTAAAAGTAACTTAAATAAATTTTTATTTATTTAAGTTACTTTTAAATATTTTTCATAGGACACTAAAATTCAAGATGCTAAAGTGTTACCAGCTTCAAAAAGTCGTCAATTTAATAATATTATTATCATCATTGCCTTGCCTTTATCCCATTATTTGTGGTCGGCGCAGTATGTCATTCTCTTCCACTGCTCTCTATCGGTCGTCATATCTGAGCATACTCTTCTTTTATTCATATCATCTTTCACACAATCCATCCATCTTTTCTTAGGGCGTCCCCTCCCTTTACATCCATCCACATTCATATTATTATTATATTTAAAATATTATTTCAGTGTAAAGTTAAAGAACTTTGTCAAGTTTGAGGACACAACACAGGCTTTAGCAGCCACCACGGCAGCTATCGAGGGCAAAATATCCAAGCCATTGAAAAAAGCCCTCAAGAAGTATGTCAGCAAAGAGGTACAGGAGCAGCTACTGGTCGGGGATGCCAAACTCGGGAGTGCCATTAGGGAAAAGTTTGACTTACAGTGTGTATCCAATAGTAATGTTCAAGAATTGTTGAGATGCATCAGATCACAAATGGATAACCTGCTGGCCGGACTCCCAAAGAAGGAGATGACTGCCATGGCCCTCGGTCTAGCTCACTCCCTCTCCAGATACAAATTGAAGTTCTCTCCAGACAAAATAGACACAATGATAGTCCAAGCGCAGTGTCTTCTAGATGATTTAGATAAAGAATTAAATAATTACATAATGAGATGCCGGGAATGGTACGGCTGGCATTTCCCCGAGCTCGGCAAGATTATAACCGACAACACATTGTTTGTTAAGGTCGTCAAACTAATCGGCACTCGAGACCACGCTTCCAACACAGACTTGTCAGATATCCTTCCCGAAGATTTGGAAGAGAAAGTCAAAGAGGCTGCCGAGATTTCAATGGGAACAGAGATCTCTGATGATGATATAGTGAACATACAAAATCTGTGTGATGAGATAATCTCAATAAATGACTATAGAACACATTTGACGGACTACTTGAAGGCCAGGATGATGGCTATGGCTCCAAATTTAACTGTTCTAATAGGGGAGCATATCGGTGCTAGATTAATAGCTCATGCGGGGTCGTTAATGAATTTAGCAAAACATCCAGCCTCCACGGTTCAGATATTCGGTGCGGAGAAAGCATTGTTCCGTGCTTTGAAAACAAAGAAGGACACGCCTAAATACGGTTTGATATACCACGCTCAGCTGGTAGGACAGTGTAGTACTAAGAACAAAGGAAAGATGTCCCGTATGCTGGCAGCTAAAGCCGCCCTGGCCACTAGAGTGGACGCTTTTGGCGAAGATGTGTCATTTGATCTCGGAGCTAAACATAAAGTGAGGTTAGAGAACAGGCTCAGGTTGCTGGAGGAGGGGAACTTGAGGAGGATCAGTGGCACTGGCAAGGCCAAGGCTAAGTTCGAGAAATATCACAGTAAGAGGTGAGTGCATTAATTTTAAATATTTTTTTATGTAACCCACCTGGTGGTAAGTGGTCACCGTCGCATTTATACATGAACAGCACTATAGACTATACTATGTATGTAGTTGTTTTGTGTGGTAGGGACAGTGATAAAAAATAAGACGTGCAAAAGAAGCCGGATGGTCCTATGTGAATTAATGATTTTGAGTTTAATTTTATACATGTTTTGGTTAACACGTTGACTGTTAACTACGAAATAACTCGTAGATTGCGTTCTTTTATAGTAGTTAGCCTACTAGTGATATAGCCCTGTATTGAGTTGTCATTTTTATTTAGCTATGACTAAACTTTGGATAGATCAATATTAATATCGATAAACAAGTTCAGGCAAAAGGACAAAAAGCAATGTTGGCTTGCTTGAACAGAAATATTAATAAAAAACGAACAAAAAGTATAATATTAAAAAATTCTACTTCTAGACTAACTCAAGAAATATTTTTTTATAAACTGAATATTTTATTGTCCTGGAACTTTTTGAAAAACACATTTTTAATGCTATTTGATGATTACTATGAACTAGAATTAGAGTTTTTAATAATATTCTGAAAATTGTCGTGGTAGTCAACGAGTTAAGAATTATATTCTACACTAGTTAACTAACTACTAGGTTACCTACTAAGTTACTAGGAAGGCAGGCTAACAATGCCTTCCTAAACAAGTTTTTGCTTCACGTATTAATTTTGTGTCAGAAATATATATAGAAATAATCTTTATTCCAATAAACTTAATACAAACACTTTTGAATAGTCAAGTTTAGATTCTACCTCTCATTCGGAACGCAGACTAGAAGAATAAATAAATATATCTGTTCACAAGATAACCATTTTTAATAAGCACAATCATACATCATATTCCTACTGGAATATTTAGTGAGTTACAACGAATTTACTTTTGAAGTAGTATAACGCAGTTAAGTGTGTTGAGTACTCATACTCGGACACGTCGAGGGGGATTGTTAGTAATGTGGACTCATGACCCCATTACTAGCAATGTACCATGTCAGGTTGACCTCCACGCGGTTTCCCCTGGAAACCACCGTGATAAATTTCTGGTAAATATGTCACGATGGCCTAACTGACCTGACCTCTTGTTCGTCTTATCCTCCACTGGTGCCTCGCCAGTGTAAACCGTTAGCGCAGGCGGGTGCACCATACGATTATCATCCATAAAAAAAATTAAGTTACTAGGTTCTACACTAGTTAAAATTGTACTATTATAAATTACCCTTGAAGTTGTGTTGTCGCCAATATGTTATTTGTCTTGCTAATTATCGTCTCACACACAGCTTAATGGACGCATAACGACAGCAGTGTGTGCTAGAAACGATATATACTTCCTTCTCTTTTCCATATACTATACTGCATCTATCTAAATTCAAATTCAAAATATCTTTATTCATATAGGTTTATAACAGATTCTCATGATATATCAAATCTACTATCAGTTCGGAATGATTTCGAGATGAGAAGAACTGACTAGAAACTCAGCTCGTATTCTTTTTAAATAAATGTTGCACATGTTTACATAATACAGAGTATTTTTTCATTTATTTTTAAAATGAATCTGTATCTTATCTTTATATATACATCTATACATATAAATAAAATTATTGAAGTGTCTGTTTGTAATATTGAAATAACCGTTTTTTACTACATGTAAATGCGGTATATACACCAAAATAATATTTTTTACAATTTTGTCTTGTCTGTCTGTCTGTTTGTTCAGGCTAATCTCTGAAATGGCTGGACCAATTTTGACGGGACTTTTTTTTTGGCAGGTATCCGATGTAATAAGGAGTAACTTAGGCTACTTTTATTTTAGAAAAATCCTTTAATTTTAGAAAAATAAATTAAATTTCACGCGGACGAAGTCGCGGGAACAGCTATTACATAAATACTATAAGTATCTAATTGAAGTATTGCGCAAAGTCTATTGCTCACTAAGCGAATACTTAAGTAACAAACGTGCTGGCAATAGTTGTTCATGCACGAGATTTTCATTTAATTTTAGACATAGACACCTATATAAATATACATTGCAAATAAAGTGGATTTAAAAAAAAAGAATTTGAGTTTCTTGCCATTTCATTTCAATTGTATATGTATGTATACTGAACTGGATGTGAGGGAAAAATATTAATAGAATTTTAATTTCCATTTCATTTCATTTATTCATAACAATTTACATTGTGTTGAGTTTTATTACATATCATAATTTTAATTAATTAATTATATGTCTAAAATAAGTCTACAAAAAACTAGACGTTCGTAAACGCGATTAAAATGAATAAATTATATTTGATTTATTATGTATGTTTGTGAACAGTGACGTGTTCCACTACCCGGTGGACCAGGACAACACCATCGAGAAGAAGTCCTTCAAGAGGGAGCACTCACCAGAGGAGGAGCAGGGCGCCGCCAAGAAGATCAAGTTGGAGGATGGTGTTAATAATGTAATTATTAATATTTTTATGAGGTTTTTAGGACGATGTGGAGCGAGAGCAGATGGCACTCCAAACCAAAGGAAGGACTTATAGAATAGAATATCCTTTATTCAAATAAACTCAATTTAAGCAATTTTGAATAGTCATAACATTTTTTTTAATCTACCGCTCATTCGGAAAGCTGTCTTATCATAAAAAGAACGAGCAAGAAACTTGTGTGTTGCTCTTTTAAATAATTCTTGTAAGTTTACATTATTCAAGTCGAAACGTGTGAATAACCCAAAATATAAATGTATACATACATAAATAAAATTGGAGTGTCTGTTTGTAATATTGAAATTTTACTAATAATAATATAAATACGGTACATATACCAAAATAATATTTTTAACAATTTTTGACTGTCTGTCTGTTTGTTTGTTCCGGCTAATCTCTGAAATAGCTGGACCGATTTTGACGGGACTTTTATTGGCAGTTAGCTGATGTAATAAGGAGTAACTTAGGCTACTTGTAATTTAGAAAAAAAAAATCCACACGGAAGAAGGCATGGGAACAGCTAGTTTTAATATATCATTTTTATGTGTTGTTTCTACTAACATATTATTATTAAAATTGAATGTTTAACTATATTCCTTTAAAACAGGGCACCACACCCAAGAAAGAGAAAAAATCTGAAACAAACGTCGAAGAGGACGGCGCAGACGACGTAGATGGAGTTGCGCCGACTTCAGAGAAGAAGAAAAAGAAGAAGAAGAAACGCTCACAGTCCGGGGGGGAGGCTGCAGAAGCAGACCAGACTATAGCTGAGGTGGACACGTCCGCACACGTCGAGACACCCAAAAGTGAGAAGAAAAAGAAGAAAAAACGGCAGTCGCAAGTAGAAGAGGAATAAAGTTCTCATACCTCATGTGGGAGTTGTTATTTGTTAAGATTGTTCATAATGAAATCTGGTAACTTCACGGCAGGGATGTTATCGATATGAAATTTCGGATACGGATAGGTTTCGGATATAGGAATGATTATTATACCGGATACAGATATGAAATTATTTCGGATTATCCGTTAATTTCGGTTACGGATATTTATTTTTTAAGGAATTTCAAAAGCAAAATACTAATAACTAATAAAATTGTTACATAACGTGTCTTAATTAAGCTCCGCTCCTATCCGATATCCGAAACTTATTTCGGATTCGGTTACAGTTATGGAGCTCCCTAACATTCCTGCTTCACGAATATCTGTTGTTTTTCAAAAGACGTTTGATGGGTATTTCCGAATCGATACAATATTGGAACTTTCTAGAAAACGGTTTATTCCTTCTTAAAATTTCTGCAATGCTTTTGCAATTCCCCTGGCGTTGCCGGTGAGCCGCAAGCTCGTTTGTCCCCTGTGCTATAAAAAGAGAGTATCAATATCTGCATTATTGTGTAATATTGACAGTGCTTTGTAAGAGATCCAAAATATTAAATGCGAAAATTATCTGGAAAGTTCTATCTATACATATACATGAAATTGCAGTGTCTGTTTGTAACATTGAAATGACCGTTTTTTACTACATGCATATGTATATAAATACGGTACATAAACCAAAATAACAGTTTTGTCAGTCTGTCTATCTGTTTTGGGTAATCTCTGAAATGGCTGGATCGATTTTGACGGGGCTTTTTTTTGGCAGGTAGCTGATGTAATAAGGAGTAACTTGGCTACTGTTATTTTAGAAAAATAAAGTTAATTCCACGGCATCGCGGGTACAGCTAGTATAAATTAAAAATGGTATATAAACTTTAATGCATACACAATAGAGTACATTGTTCTATGACTAACTTCTGCCTGCGACTTTATTCGTGTTGTATTAAGATTGGATATTAGCAGATAATGAGGACGTTACGAGGCTTCAGTTTGAACTCTTTTAATCCCACCTGCCTGTCGCAACAGGTTCCTCGCAGATTATAAATAACTGATCGGAATCTCTTTCAGGGATAAATTCACTTGTATCAATTGGTACACTACATATTCATTTTGGTGCACACTATATGTATAGTGTATTTCAGTATTTGGAGAGGCGTGTAAATAACATTTGGGTTTCACTTCATATGTACCTAGCAATTAGGTACGCGGATGACTCATGGATATACCTACTAATTATACTCCTCAAAGGTTCTTCAATAGAACCAAAGGCCACTGAAAAACGTAATGCAAAACACCACTGATCTTGATCATGTCTCGGGGGCACTTCACACGCTGTACAGGTGCCGGGTCACGAGCCTCCAGCAACAATTGTTTGAGTTCAAATCACCAGAGCTTGACGTAATTATCCACAACTCCAGCTCACGCGGACACTAGGCTAAATACAGCTTTTTAGGGTCTATTTTCAGTATATCACGAAGGAATATTAATTTACAATGCAAATATGCGTCAGTTTCTTTTCTCTTGCACGCAAGGTGCAAGTTAATTTGCCATATTTTGAAGAGAGGCGGGAACCAGTCACAGCTCCGACAGTAACGCTTCATTAGTTCACGCATTGAACTATTCCCGCAAGGAAATTCAAAGTAGAAAGTGTTAACAATACGCCAGCACAGATGGCGCTAGTGGTATTTTGAATTGCCTCTGGGGCATCAAATTAGTAGTAATTTTTGTAATGAATCAAATCTTACGCGCACGACCAGTATTCATATACACTGGACCCCTTGTAATCCGACATTGTCTATTATTTATTTTTGAATATTTTTTTGAAAATCTTCGCTAATACATGACTTAAGAAATTTGAACCTGTGCATCATCATTGTTGTACTCGACGCGTAGGGTATTGTTTTGATGATTATGAATGATTAGTTTGAATTTCACTACTTATATGTGATGAAGATAGCCGTGCAGTATAGCATGTTCATTGTTTACTGTTTATTTATTGTATTACGTATCAGCTCTGAAGAGAAAGCACAAAACACTGACAGTTAAAGAACAATGTGATATTCTAGACCGTCTAAATCGTAACGACTCTTTTAGTAGTTCACATACATAATGTATCAGTATCAGTATGATTTGTACTTCAGAGTGCATATACATACATACATATATAAACATACATATATTATAACATAGGATCTTTGCAAAATGATTTGTCGGATTACAAGGATCTTTAATTTGTCGCATTACAAGGTACTCTTTTGTAAAAAATTATGGACCTTAGGGGACCCTTAGGTAGTACTCTATAATCCGACAAATTAGATCGTCCGACACTGCCCTGCAAAACGTAAGTCGGATAACCGGGGGTCCACTGTATTTTTATATATGACAGTAATACAATACATAGGTAAGGGAGAGTACATAAATTACGTGAGGTGTTTTTTTTTTAATTTTCTGTCCCTCGCTCCCCCCCTAGTGAGATGTCGTGACATTTTATTCAACCCCCGCCCATTCCCCAATCACACGTGAGATTTTTCAAAATGTCGATTTCTTACGTAAACGCGTTGGATTGTTGTTGTAAAAAGAAAAAAAATTGCTTCGTACTGTTATTTACGACTAGTTAAAACTAGCAATCAATATTGCTGAGAGTTATAAGTGTAATAAGCATGCACAATCTGGATTAAATGAACCAAACAGTATTTTTTTCGTTTCAATCAGAAAAAAAATTGCGTGATATTTGCCGGCCGACCGGGGGGTTGAGGGGGGGGGGGCTCACCCCCTTAAACATCTCACGTAATTTAAGGACGCCCCCTATAATAAGCCATTTTTTAAGATATTAAGTCTGTCGTTATGATTTTCGCCTAAGATATTATGTACAAGTATAAAATCTGTTTATGTACATGTGACATGTAGAAAATATTGTTTACTTGCGTCAAAATAAAGATGCAAAATTAAAAACAAATATACTAGTATAAGCGTATTGTGAAAGTTACTTGGGCGCGTGTCGTTTTATATGTAACTATAGGTTATAAATCGTTATGAATGTTCATATAAGAGGAATATTAAAAAAATATTTTAAGTAATGCATCTTTTTTTTTATTTTAATTTATTATGTCACCAGCAAGGTTTATAATAGCGGTGCCCGCGGTTATTATATAATCTTATATGTAAAACTAACTTTTGCCAGCGGCTTCGCTCGCATTAATTTATCCCCTTAGGGGTGGAATTTATAATAATCCTTTCTTATGATTCCGACGTCATAGTAGCTTTACGCATGCAGTCTCAGCCCGATCGGTTTAAAATTGACAAAGTTTCGTACAAACTTTCATCCCCTTGGGGGTAGAATTAATCAAAATCCTTTCTTAGCGGATGCCTACGTCATAACATCTACCTGCATGCCAAATTTCAGCTCGATCCGTCCAGTGGTTTGGGCTGTGCGTTGATAGATCACTATGTCAGTCATCTTTGAGTTATATATATTTAGATTCTCGTGTCACAATGTTACTTACCATACTCCTCTGAAACGGCTTGACCGATTTTTATGAAATTTTATATGCATATTCAGTAGGACTGAGAATCGGCTACTATCTATTTTTCATACCCCTAAGTGATAAGGGTTGTCCACCCCTAACATTTATTTTTTATTTATATTCTTTTATTATGTCATTAAAAAATAAATTTTCACCCTTCTAGCATCAACCCCTATTTTTTAATAGCGATTTTATTTTATATGGCAAAACAACATTTGCTCAGCTAGTTTTAATATATAAATTTCAATAAAAATATAAATAAAGTGATATTCTGATGCAAGTTATAGATATTACAGTAAAGTCAGTCCTCATCACTGTAGCGTTATATATGTTGTGATGAGGTGTCGCTACATAATATATTATTTATTTTGACAGCCTCGGTGGTCTAGTGGTTTAGCACACCGCTTTACTATCCGATGGTCGTGGGTTCGATTCCTCGCACGGTGCAAACATTTGTATTCATGAGTATGATTGTTTGTATCGATCTGGGTGTGTTCTATGTATAATATGTATTTATTTACAAAAAAAATGTATGTCAGTTGATATAAATACTTGGATAAATTTTTTTTGATGATGATACAAGATGAATCACTAAAAAATGAATTATTATATAAAAAAATTCTGTCTATTAAAAAAGTAAATTATTACTTTCCCCCTCACACGAAGGTTTTTTTATATGGATGGTAATGGAATGGTGCACCCGCCTGCGCTAACGGTTTACGCTGGCGGGGCACCAGTGGAGGATGATAAGATGAGCATGAGGTCAGGTCAGTTATCACGATGGTTTCCAGGGGGAACCGCGTGGAGGTCAACCTGACATGGTACCTATATTGTTAGCAATGAGATATCGTCAGTCCACATTACTAACAATCCCCTTTGCCTAGGGGGCACGAAGGTAAGAAAAGTAAATTATTACTTACAGGTCTAAAGTGGAGGTAGAAATCACTAGAATACAATGCTTACAACCGACGTACGTTGAGGGCAAGGGGATTGTAAGTAATGTGTATTGATAACCCCATTGCTAGCAATGTACCATGTCAGGTCGACCTCCACACGGTTCCCCACCCCCTGGAAACCGTCTTGATAAATCTTGGTGAAATCATTTTGATAAATTTGTGGACTGACGAATTTGCTAACAATATCGATGGGCTGACTGACATCTGATAAATTCTTCTTATACCTCATGTTCATCCTATCCTCCACTGGTGCCCCGGCAGCGTATACCGTTAGCGCAGGCGGGTGCACCGTTCCGTAATCACCTAAAAAAATCCTCTTTCTTCATAATCTTCTTTAATATAATTTTATTCTTACTTACAATTTAAGTTTAAGTGTGTGAATACAAACTACCGATTAGCACTAATTCAATTAATTAATCAAATAGAAAAAATATTTAATACACAACTGGTCAAACTGGCGCAATGATGGCTGGCTCATCCGTCATACTCGTGAACGGGTGCTGCTTGTAGGGACTGGTCTGCTCTAATCACTATGACTGATTTCCTCTTATTAATTCTTTTACCAGTTGGTTATATATTCAATATTTTTTCTATTTGAGTATTTAATTGAATTAGTGCTAATTGGTGGTTTGTATTCACACACTTAAACTTAAAAATGTAAAGTAAGAATAAAATTATTTAAAAGAGCAACACGCAAGTTTCTTACTCGTTCTTCTTGTGATGAGACAGCTTTCCGATTAAAAAAATGTAATGACTATTCAAAAGTTTAATTGAATAAATGATTTTCTATTCTATTCTTCAATAAACATTTCAATCAAACATCTAACTACATAAGAACTTCGCAACACAAACAAGATGGTTACTGTAAAACATTACTAGGACATAAGTAGGTACTTATAAAATATTGAAGTTTGAACGTAACTTACACGGCAGTTCACTACAACCGCGATACCATCCACGTCACAACTAATAAAAGTTGTCCCGTGGCGGGGGGTGTAGGGGGGTGGGGGTGGGGGTCGACAATCGTACACACGGATCACTATTCCTCCTGGCATTGTCTCATTACACGTGATTGAGTTTGAACACACAGTGTAGCTACACACAGTATGTCAATTAAATTAAATAAAAGCCGAAATCTAATTATATATAACTCAAAGGTGACTGACATAGTGATCTATCAACGCACAGCCCAAACCACTGGACGGATCGAGCTGAAATTTGGCATGCAGGTAGATGTTATGACGTAGGCATCCGCTAAGAAAGGATTTTGATTAATTCTACCCCCAAGGGGATAAAATAGGGGATGCAAGTTTATATGAAACTTTGTCAATTTTAAACCGACCGGGCTGAGACTTTGCATGCTACTATGACTTCCCCTAAGAAAGGATTTTGATAAATTCCACCCCTAAGGGGATAAAGCGAGCGAAGCAGCGGGCAAAAGCTAGTAATAATAATAAAATTTATTTATTCCATTCCATTATAAGTATTCACAAAATTGTTTTAACAATGAACATTCTGTAAATGTAACAATATAAGAGAATGGAACGGAACCTGTGCTACAGAATTCCGCCGCCGCACTCGGCTCATGGGTAATCAGACAGTCTACAACTTTTGAGTAGAATTAGAAAAAATCAGACTAGACAACAAAGTACTATATACGATTATCATTGTGTAAATACAGCGTATGATTGCTGTTGAATGAATTATATTTTAACACTCGTATATATTTTTATGTTTATTGTTCTGTTTTCAGAAGACTTTCAGTCTCTTCATATGATTTTTTTGTAAATATTTAATAACGTTTGCAGTTGT